CGGGGGGGAAGCCATGGGGCTGGGTGCAGGAGAGAGCAGCAGGGAGCGGTGCGAGGAGTCAGCCCCGGTGACAAAGCAGCCAGGACCACACATGCGGAGTCTGCAGAGGAGACGGTACCTGGCCGTGCACGGAGATGTCGAAGCGGATGCCGTAGAGTTTCAGCAGGTTCCGGTAGAGCTGCTGCTGGGAGTCCCAGTAGTAGGAGGCCGTTCTGCGGGAGGCATTGGATGTGGCTCAGAAAGCCATGGAGCTCTGCACAGGCAGCGAGGGAAGAGGGCTGCCAGTGCCCTATGATTGCTGGGGCTACCACATGCCTGGGCACACCCCATGTCCTCCAGCGGCTTGGACACGGGCGATGCACACGGAGCCATGGCTTACTAGCTTGGCATCGGCGACCGCTCAGCACCAGCCTAGGGTACTGGGAGCGTGCAGCTCCCAGTGTGTCCTGTCCAGGGTTGGCACGGTCCTCAGCAGCCACCCATCCCTGCCCCCAGGCAGGTAATGCCTTGCCCAGCTCCAAACCAAGCAGAGCTACGAGGCGTGGGAACTACCACGGCACCCAGCACTGACAGGCCATGCGCTGAGCTGCCATGTCCCGATGTCCCTGCTGCCCCTTTCGGAGCGTCACTCAGGAAAACCGAGATCTCAAACGACTGCCGTGTGCTCATCCCACAGACCCGTGTGGCCGCTGTCCCAGCACCCTCACCTGAAATTGTACCTCCTGTCCTGCAGGCGGAAGGAGTACCGCGGCTGGCACTGCGCAGCGGGGTGATCCAGGTCGCAGTTCCACTCGATGCGAACTCCGATGCTGCCCCCCTGCAAAACACGCCTTATTCCAGGAGAAGCCGAGGACCGGAGATGTGCTGAGAGCTTTACTGTTCAGGTGCTCGCAGATCACACACAAACACCACATCGTTCCTTCAGCATTGCAGGGGTCAGCCCTGTCCCCCGCCCCTTGCCCACACCCTTGGGCAATTTGCAGTCATCTTCCATAAAGAAAAAGCAAATACCAGCAGTGCGAGGTCCTCGAAGGTCTCTCCAGCTGCCTCCACCATGTCACGGACACGGAAGACGGGGCAGGAGGGGCTGAAGAATGGATCGTACGTGCAGCTCTTGAAATAGGTGGGGTCATTGGTTTGCAAAGTATTGCACCTGAGACGGGGGGAGAGAGAGGGAGCTGGGATGGGAGGACAGGGAGCCCTGCTGCAGGACTGAAAAGGAGACCCTCCTCCTGGAGTGGGACCACTAACACTCGTGCTTCGGAGGGAGATAAGTCATTGCCTCTCCTAAAGCCTCAGCTGGAGAGAGAGCAGAGGGAAACTGGTCCAGAGGAATCACACATGGAATTATCACCCTTTATAGCACCTGCCATGGTCCTTCCCAAAACTAATGAAGGGTTTGGAGAACTTGTCCTATGAGGAGCAGCTGAGGGAGCTGGGACTGTTTAGTCTGGAGGAGGCTCAGGGGGGACCTTCTCGCTCTCTACAATTACCTGAAAGGAAGTTGTAGGGAGATGGGGGTTGGTCTCTTCTCCCATGTTATGAACGACAGGATGAGAGGGAATGGCCTCAAGTTACACCAGGGGAAATTTAGGTTGGATATCAGGAAAAATTTCTTTCCAGAGAGGGTTGTGAAGTATTGGAACAGGCTGCCCAGGGAGGTGGTGGAGTCCCCATCCCTGGAGGTGTTTAAAAAATGTGTGGATTGGGTGTTTGAGGAACATGGTTTAGGGACCCTGACAGTGCAGGGTGAATGGTTGGACCCGATGATCTTGAGGGTCTCTTGCAACCAGATGATTCTATGATGCTATGATTCCCCTCCCAGCTCCTCTCCTCCTCTGCATTTGTTCTTCTTCTGGCACTTAGCTCCCATCACTGTGAGATGTAATGGCACAGCCCGAGTTACTGCTCCAGGGGTGGTAACTGCCCCAGGCCACGTCTCCTGCCAGAGTAAGCGCTTTTGCAGGGACTAAAAAGCAAAAGCAGATGGGGTAGAACGAGACCTTGGGAATGACTGGCCTTGTCCTGCTCTGTTTGCAGTGCTCTGGACAGGTGGGAGCACAGCAGCCCCTCTCTCCAGGGGCTCCCCATCCCATTGCTCTCATGGCTGCAAACACACGTGCTGCCAAAGCGAGCAGCGTTCTCCTAAACACACTATCCTGGCCTGGAACTGCCCGAGCCACCACCTGCCCCGGCCGTCACACGGCTTCTCGGACACCTCGGCTGCTCAGCCCCTGGGCAGGCAAGCTCAGCAGAGGCTGGACTGAGCTGCACGTATAGTCCGGCTGGAGGAGCGTCATACTTACTTGGAGAAATTAAATTTGGTGAAGTGGACAGTGTTTTTTATAAAAAGAGTGAAGTTCTCTGCCTCAGCCAGTAGAGGTTTCCTGGAAAACAATAACCAATGAACTCAAATTTTGCACAGTGGCCAAGGCATGTCCCCACTCCCCTCACTCCGCAGCCTGTTCCACGATCCCAGGACTTTGGCTACAACAGACAGCTGCAAGAAATGCTCTTGCATGAAGTTCTCTGGGCTTAATTGACTGGTAGACCAAAGCCAATTATCTCCCTGAGCCTGGTGGCCCCCAGGCAGGTATGATCAGGCCCCTGGTTACACAGAGCACAGAGAGAAGCAACCAAAGCTCTCACCATCTGCTGTCCACTGACCCTGTGCCATACCTGGGCAGAGTGTTATTCTCCACAGGACACCAGCCATAGATCTCACAGGTGGAATGGGTCGTGTTGAACATCACACATTTCCCAGTTTTTATCCCTAGAAATGAGACAACATGCACAATTTGCTATTCCTTTTCGAAACCTCTTCTCTGCAGCTCCCCTCCTGGGACAGTGGCCTGGCCACTGGCTTGTTCTGACCTTCTCGAAACCCGAACCACAAAGACGACCCTGGGATCGTCTTCAGTGTTTTCCCCACCCAACAACTTCCCAGTGAAACCCTCCCTCGAGGCCGGAGGACAGGAGCTGTTTCACGCAGACACGAAGCTGCTCGCTGCTGTCAGCGCCTGCCTGCCCCGCGCAGCCTCCCCTGCCCCGCGGGGGCTGCATGGGAAGATGCTCCCTGGGTGGGAGCTGAGGCAATCCTGCACACAGAGCTTTGGCTACTGACCTCCGGGAGCTGAGAGCCCTTTCCAGCTGAGCCCACGCGGGCTGCTAACATTAATCGGCGTGAAATAAAAGCCAGTTTTATTACAACAGGAAAACCTGCCAATCACACGGCACAGTGGTTTCAATTCCAGCAGCCACCATCAGAAACAAAGCTCCGCCGTGCTCGCCGTGGCAGTGCCCGGTGCCCGGTGCCCGCTGCACCTGCCCCTCCGGCCGCCACACGTCACCGCAAGGTTTTGCCAGGAATAAACGGCTGGAGAGCGCTTCCGTGCGCGCTCACGAAAAGCACCGCGCTCAGGCAATCCGCCACCTTTGTGATCTGCATCCTACCACACACGAGGAATTAAATGACTTTATGGGGTTTTTAGCAAAACACCCAGTACCGTTGCCGTGAACCACCGGGTTTCCCGTGGGACAGTCTGCATCTTCTGTGCACGTCGCGTCGAGAACAGAGGGGCTCTGAGAGAAACAGAGAGAAGTGCTGTCACTGCGCTGCGCAGCCGCCCGAGACCGCGCGGTCCTCACCCGCATTTCTGGGCTGCTGCTCCTGTTTCTCCAAGCACGTTCCAAGCGCTTACAGAAGACAGCCACCATGTCCAGAACCCGGGCAGCCTCCAGGCAGCGCGGAGAAAGGTGTCTCCGAGGGGCAATCCTTCCTGCCCATCTCCGCGCTCTCTGGGGCGTGCGCCTCCTCTACCTCGGTGGCAGAGGAAGCCTCGGGAGCAAGCCCGGACCTCTCGGCTGGGTCTGGGAACAAGCACAGTTGGGTTTGGGAGGGCCTTAATGGCAGAGCCCATTAAGCACCTTGTAAAGCACCACCACAGTTTCCCCGGGAGAGCACGGAAGAGTCCCTAAACACAGCGTAACACAAGTTCTCCAGGAGACACGGAAAGCTTCACCCTTGCTCTGGACCCACCTGATGGCCAGGAGCAGCAAAAAGCTCCTGTTCAAACAGAGAGACGCCGGCAGGTGGGGCAATACGAGTAACACCGTCCCTCAGCTACTCCCAGGCCATCGCAGGAGCAGCCAGCACATCAGGAACCCACCTCCCCACGCCCAGAGGGGCACAGAGCCCCTAAGGCAGGGGGGAAACCCCAGTTATGGGGTCAGAAGAAGCAGGGCTCTGTCCGGGACCCCCAGAGCTGTCCCAGGACAGCCCCAGCCCCTTGTTCCAGTTGTGCAACCCACCATGACGAGCTGAGAGGAGCAGCTCTCTGAAGCACACTTGGGCTGAGGGGCAGCAGACCTTCTAGTGGTATGGGAATCGTTATGGGATGTAGGAGAAGAGCATTTTGGGATTGCACAGAACATTTAGGGGATGGGATGTTTAGGCGAGAAAGAAAAGGCATGGAAAGGGCAGATCTAGGTGAGCTGAGAAGGAACTAACATTGGGTAATAGAGGGAGAAAAGGATGCAAAGGACTGGTTGCATGTGAAGAGCTGCCCTGCACCTCATTGGCACGGTCTGTCCTGTCTTCGGACTGAATTCCACTTCTGTTTTCCTGGGTGAGGGGCTCTATTCTGCATGTGCACGAGGGTCTCAATGCCAGCAGCTGGGGGCACTGGTTGCAGGGGGCCGTGTGCCACCAGCTACAGCAAGCGCAGGCATGCACACAAGCGTGTGGCTCACAGCAAACATTGGGCTGGACGTGCCAGCAAGGAGGTGAAGGGGCCTGGGAGCAAGGAGGGGTGTCTCAGCGTAAGCCCACAGGACTCACCAGAGTGACCAGGGAGTCCTGATCCACTGCTGGAGAGAGGTGGCTACTGGATTCATGCCCCTCACCCCCACTGATGGCCCGCTCATAGCTTGCAGGAACTACCTGCAATGCTGTAATAAGCACTTATGAGAGCATTTTCTTGTCCTGGATCCAAATGAGATGTCATGGATTCAGCCTCCAGAAGGAGCCAGACAATAGATACTGGCAGATGAGCACGTCAGTCTCTTCCCAAGTCCAGGTAACAAGACACATGACAAGTGCCACTTGGCAGACAGACACTTCTGAGTGTTCAGGGCATGCAAGCTGCAAAGCTTGGGAGAAATTCAGGTACTGAAGTCTGTGATGGTGTTATAGAAAACGTAAAACCTGGCCAAGAAGGTTTCAACCTCTCCTAGCACCTTTTAGTGGAAATGAGCCTTCAAAGACATCTGTCGGTGCTGGCTTCCTCCCCAGGCATGATCCAAATCAGGTTACACGTGCCACAAGTGCATTGTGAGAGAAGCAGAGAGATCTAGACTCAGTGAAAAGTCCTCATGGGGCCCTGGGTCTGTGCTCCTAAAGCTCGCTAAACCATTGCTGCATCTTGGTTAGGTAAGAGTCTCAAAGCTTGGGACAATTAGGAGTAACAAATTTTTCTAGGAATCTACTCAAGAACTGCAGGTTTGGGGCAGGACAGGAACATGAGCGCACCAGCTTTTAGAACAAGCGTGAACCACTACACGTTTTCAGAAGATGTCCCCCATCATGCTCACAGCAGAGCATGTCCCTTCACGCTCACAGCAGAGCTCAGATGCTGCTCGGAGTTCATGGCGTTTGTGTTCCTGGCACAGGGGTGATTTCAGACAGGGGCAGCAAAGATGTGCTGTTGACAGCAGAGATCTGTGCACAAATTAACTCTTGCAACCTCACAGCTGAAAGGTTTGTATTTACTTTAGTCACAAATACGTGGGTAGAGGATGACTTTATTCTTAATCTCATCAGAAACAGTTGCTGATTCCCAGCCCTCGACAGCTGTGCCGCCACATACCAGGGGCCGGGAAGCAAAGTGAACCTTCTCGGATAGCAAATCACCAGTAGCATCACATATGAGCAAAGAAGGATGAGGCTTCTCCCAAAAATCTACAACTCCCTTCATCCTCTTAGGACATGGTCCTGTGCTGCTTGGGGTTGGGACCAGTGCCACTCACGTGTGCATCCATCAGCAGCATCTGGACCTGTAAGAGCTGAGCACAGCTGGATGTGCTGAAGACCATAATTTAAGCAAAATGGTGCCTTAGCCCCAGAGCTTGCATCTGGACGGAGTGGATGCCCTACCTGACTAATGCCTTCTGGCTCTAAGTCTAATTTGATCACCTTCATTGACCTTCAGAGCTCCTCGCGAATAGAGGCAGAGGGTTTCCAACCACTCAAGGTATTTGAGATCAACTTAGAAAGGTCTCCCTACGAGACAAGTCACAGCTCAGCCCCAGATCTAAGCTCAACACAGACATCAACTGCTAAAACAACACATCCTGCGTTCAGGTGCTGCCTCTGACCCCAGCTGGACTTCTCCTTGGTCTGCCAGCACAGAATACTTCGGTAATCGAGAACATTCAGAACTTCTGCAAGGTGTCACTGCTAAACCTTCAAAGCTTTCCAAACATGAATGTCAGCTGCAGCCCCAAAGCCAGCAACTAAGAAGCTGCTGGAGTGCAGCACAGGACGAAGGCTGTGACAGGCACCCAGACACACCACAGCACTGTAATGGGAGGAGATGCTCGTCTCTCTCTGTATCCTGGCTTGCACACTGCAAAAACAAGCATCTAGAGATGCCAGTGGCTGCCTGTGAGAGAGCCCTGAAATGCTCTATGGCACATTTCTTCCCCTGGAGATGTTCCTGCAGCTATTAGTACTTTAGGAGTTCTCAACATTTTAAAGAGGGGTCATTAGTAACATTTTCCTCGACCCAAAACCAGGGTTGCTCCTCCTTTTCTGCAGCCTGCCTTTGGAGAGCAGCCCAGCCCAGCCCAGCAGCCTGCAGCACAGGGTGAGCTGGGAAGCAGGATCAGGCTGGGCACGGCACAGCAGGTCACAGCAAAAGCCGAAGGGACCCTCAGGACAAATGGTGCTTGGCTCAGGCACAGGGTGCCAGCAGTGACTTAGCTTCTAAGACATTTGCTCCTGTCTGCCAAGCAGGGTACAGCTTGGGAGAGTTCAGCTGAGGAGCTGGCCTGAATCCAGCTTTAAGGAGAAGATTTCTACCAGAGAACAGATGCCATTAAGTGTTGGCTGACTGGGAGAGCACCTAGACCTTGTGCTCTGTTCCTCCTAAAAACAGGACACTAAGATGGGGAGGACACTAGTCCTGTGGCAAAGTTCTAAAGGAAACATGACACAGGGATCCATGGAGTGCATGTAAAGGCATCAGGAAAAGTGGCAGAACGGAGGTAAAAGAATGGAGCAGCAAGTCAAGAAACCAAGAATATGTGTGAGACTCAAAGAGGAACACAGGTAGCAGAGCTGGGGATGCCAGTGCTGAGGCCAGCCGCAGCGCGGAGATGGAACAGCAAAGGGGCAACACAGCTCAGCCTCCCCAGAGCAGCCCTTGTCCAAAGGCAGCAGAAAACCTGGAAAGATCACACAGTGTCACCATCCCTCACGAAACCCAGAGAGCTGGCAAGGACCCAACAGACACGTCCCTCGTCCTTCTGGTCCACCAGTGATTCTGGCCAGACCGTTTGGATACACGGCTTGGTTCATGCGGGTATGACAGAGCAAGTGCAAACGAGCGGGGAAGATCTGCGGAGCAAGGGGAACGAGGGGAATCAGTTTTGTGTGGAACAAAAGCCCATTTCTCCCTTCTGTCTGGCCTCGCACCGGGTTCTGCCGAGCTCCCGCACAGCTGCGCGGCCGCAGCACCGGCGGCTGTACGGGCCGGGCC